AAGACAAATAATAATAACAATAATGATAATAATAATAATAATAATAATACTATACATAAATTAAAATTGAATGAAAAAACTGTTTAAATCACCCACACAAAGGTGGGGAAAAATCCAACATAAAAAACAAAACAAAAAAAATCTAAGTGGTACACGTAAGCACTAGCAAATCAATAATTACAGTGAATTCTTATTATTCCTGGTAGTTATAAGGCCTTTTCAAATATTGTATTCACGAACACTGAGCTGTTCAGTGACAAAAGCCTGGCAAGCTCAAGGTCCTGAGTTTGATTCCCAGTACCAAAAAAAAAAAAAAAAAAAAAAAAAAAAAAAAAAGAACACCAAGGTGTTTCTCTTGGGAGAAATACAGATCTAGGTTCTGTGAGCCTGGTCACATTTTTAACAACTAATCAATACATAACCTTGTTGAAAAGTATTTGCTTTAAATTTTTAATGGAATTTTAGCCAAATAACTCCTTGATACTTCTTTGACCAGAAATTTGCTGGTGAACACTGACAAAGTTATTGACTTTTTCTGTGTTGGAATTTTTAAAAACATAATGGGAGTACACTTTGATTAAACTAACATCTGAATATTTTATGTATACACACACATATATGCCTTGTTTATGTGTATATATGTTTAAAAATACAACACTTACTATATATTGTTGAATTATTAACATTGGTCTTACAGCCAATAATATTATAATTCATTCCTGCACATAGCTTACCTAACATACACATTTCTCCGTAATGCATAACATAGTCTTCTACAAACTATGTGTAATACACAACAAACTCTCCACACATAAACTTGGCAAGTTAGACAAAATGGGCAATCTCTCAGAATCACAAACTATCAAAACTCAACCCAATAAGCAACAGATCATTTAAATTGCTGTGTAATTATTAAGGACTTTGATTTCATAGTTAAAAGAATCTCCAAAGAGAATTCTTCAGGCCCAGCCAGTTTTGGGAGAGAATTTTAGCAAACCTTTGAAGAACAACAGCAATTTTACACAGTCTCTTGCAAATAGGAGGGAATATTTCTCAATTCAGGCCAGTTAATCTTGATATTAACACCAAACAAAGATAGTACAAACAAATAAACAAAAGAAAAAAAGGCAGATAAATATAGCTGTATAAGTTATTAACAAAATTATTAGCAAACAG